GAAATGGCCTCAAAAGCCCTAACTGTGGCAAATGCACTTCGCTCCCTCAGCAATACAGTGCGAGGAGTCAATCCTTACCTCATGCGGCAGGCAATCAAGGCCTGCGTACTCTCCAAAGTCTACTATGGCGCTGAAACCTGGTGGCCAGGCGGCTCTCGCCCTGACCCGCGCAGAGGAACAGTCTCAAACCGGGTCCAAGGACACATTGACAGAGTAACCAAGGTTATACTAGCAGGGGCCAGAGCAATTCTCCCAGTCTACCGTACAACCCCAATACCTGCTCTTTACCTGGAGTCAGGGCTCCTCCCAGCAGAGATTGAGCTGGATTACATAGCTACTACTGCTACAGCCCGCATACGCCGCCTCGACCCCTACCACCCACTCCGCAGGAGGGCTGAAGAGACAATCCGTTCAGGCCTCGAAAAAAGCCGTCTCGCACGCCGCGTACGAGCCCTGCCAAAATCGGAACAAGTAAACCCTCTGCAAAATGCCCCCTGGCTCCCATGGGAATCACGCGAAGCAGCCCAACAGCGGATCAGAGCTCCTGCGGCGGGCCAGACTAAGGAACAGGCAGCCAGAAATTTCCAGGACTTCTATGCCTCTCTCCCTCAGTCAGATATGAAAGTCTTCACAGATGGCTCAAAACTAGCAAACGGAATGGCAGGGGCGGGTTTCGCCCTATACCAATCCGGGAGGCTATACCAACAGTCCTCCTTTCCCCTAGGCCCTAATAAAGAGGTCTTTGATGCAGAGGCTGAAGCAGCACTGGCTGGAATCAAAGCAGCTCTTAAACTGACAACAGCATACCTTGCTACTAACCTCTGAATCTGCCTGGATAACCTAGAGGTAGCCACGCGCCTCCTTTCACCGTTCACAGGATCATCCCAAGGGGTCTTTCATACCTTCCAGGACCTCGTCTCATCCTGGTCAGCACGGGAAAGGTCCCCATACACAGACAGAGGCTCTGTACAGATCTGCTGGGTCCCCGGTCACACACAAATACCTGAGAATGAGGCAGCCGATCAAGCTGCAAAGAAGGGTGCTGCTATGGACCCTTCCCCTTCAAGCCAGCACTCGTACGCCTCACTAAGGCGGCAGATAAAGGACGACGCCATGTCTGCCCTCCAGGAATACTGGCAGCTCAAGGCCCCGCAATCCTACCAAGACCTCTGGATCACCAACTCCCCCAGATGCCCTGCAGAGCTAAAGCTCCCAAGGCCACTACTGGCACGGATCCTGGCGGCTCGTACGGGCCATGGAGACTTTGCAGCCTACCACGAACGGTTTAACCATGAAGATGCCCACCTGATCTGCCGCTGCGGTGCAAGAAAGACCGCAGTTCATTTTCTCTTCTGCAGCATTGCAAAGAGGCGCCTGCCCCGGCCTCCAGGGCCCCCTTCTGACACGATCCCCTACCTGCTGGGCACCCCAAAAGGTGCAACTGAGCTGGCTGCATGGCTATCAGAAACTCATTTCTTTGAGGATATATGCACACGGCACCCACTACCTCAGCTAAACTGAGGTTTTAATAAAAAAAAAAAAAAAAAGAAAGAAAAGGAGAGAGGTGGTAGGATAGGTCACGGAGTGTAGGAGGGCCTTTGCAGCTGGCATCAACTTCCGCCTGATCCATAGGTTCTACTTCTTGACTGCAGCAGCTATTTAATGCGCTAAAGTCCCTTATTTGTACATAGAACTAGATTTGAACTAGTTAGCGACGCCCAGGGCTTACCCCCTGGCGGCCTTTGCCCCAGCAGGGGACGGCAGGACACTAGCTTATGCGGTGCACTGCGGCCGTAAAATACAAACAACAACAACAACAACAACTGTACACCGAGCAACCCTATCCTACAACCGGCATAGTTCGCGCCAATACGGACCTTGGTCTGTGTCTAGCAATGACACCGGCATCGCCCATTCTATGTTATCCTAGGCTAATCAAGAGCATCGTACATTTCATTGATCCAATAGGTTTGTCATATAGCACCGTAACTCAGACAGACTATACCTAAAATAGCTTTACAGGGGTTTTCGAAATCTGATTCCCCCACGAGACACACGCTTTCTTCCTCAGGTTCCGCCATCGGTCTAGACCTGGATCGTCGAACCTTAAAAAGCCTTATCCAGCCAATTCTGGTAAGAGATCGAATGCGTATCCCTAATGGGAGTCGTATTATAAGGAGGACGGAGAAGAGCCATATCTAACGTGGAAGATTGCAGTTCGCGCTCAAGGGCGATTCGGCCCTTGAAGAGATCATCCGGGATGCTGCCCACAAAAGCGCATAGATGCAAGTACCTATAGCCTTCCGATGGATGAAAACCTTGGAATAGCCAACTTCCGTATTCAGATGACCGTTCGGGACCACGACATATCCTGATAGCCAACAGTCGTTTCTCATTCAATCCATGTGTGGCTCGGGGATTCGGCTCGATGGCAGACTATGTGACAAGATTTTGTATATGTTCTGTATATCAACTTAAGTGAGTGAATTAGCAGTAGATCTTACCCTAGAATTGAGCATAATCTGTAAGTCGACGTTGGCAATTCGGCTATTGCTCGCACCTGGAATACCTTTGGGGGAAAGCCTGCTCCTTGCTTTAATGGAAAGAAAAGTTGATCGCCGTTGTTACTAGTCGTAACCACCTCGCAATCCTTTGCACCATTGCGCACTCTCCCTTCTGAAGTATCACCCATATAGAGATAGGTGTGCTCTGGAACATCTTTGGTCCCCTGTTCTCGGAAATCGCCACTGCATTAGTGTTGCAAAGAAGGATGATAGTCGGGCGTGTGGGATATCGTTGAGAATAGAAATCGGATGGAGGGATCGTCAAAGTAACTCACTTCCTTTTCGTCTCACTTATATCCAATCCAATAATCCTTTAAAATTTTTGCAAGGCTAATGCCTTACCAGACCCGTCTGGTCCATCCCCGTCAATCATGGAGAAGGTGCTATTCAGCTTATAGAAGCCTGCCCTGGGAGATTGAGGTGCCTAATTTCCGACACGTTGGGTGGTTTATGGTATCCGCTCAGAGAATTACACGGCATGACATTGTGTCTTCAAGCTCCAACTGGGACCATAAGGCACCACCCACTTTCCAAACGCTACGAGGCAACCTCGGTGTTTCCTGCCGGTTTGACCTACAGTCTGGCGACCAAAGTATGGACGATGGGTGCAAGGAGGGCATACCGGCCCGTCATTTAATTGCTACGGACTGGGAAAAAAGCAAATAACAACTCCAAGAGCTTTTTTCTTTGCTGTCAGACTCCATCGTCAACTCACTTATTGTGGTCTATCAGCAATTAACAGTTGAAAGTGTGTCGGCATTTGTCAATATTCTCCGTAAAAGCAAGCCCCGAAAGGGAAAGGAAATACGGGCGGCTTGCAAGGGCGATACAGTTATCCATCCAGGTTCCGATCTGAAAACTGATACCAAATCTTGTAAGAGGTTTGGTATTGATAATTGGTCCAGGTGGGAAGTCCCATGCTATCAAAAACCCCATTGGAACTAGGGATGGAACGGCGGCCACTTCTCATCGAGGCAGTGGCCGGTCAAGGCTGCTGGCTCCAACCCAAGAACGCTGGTCAATTTTAAGGCACAAACTGTTCGTTGAGGATGTGATGAATTGTTGGTATCACTTGAGGACCGGTGTCAGGGTTGATCGGGAGTGGCAATCTATTGGCCGCAGTTAAAACTCCTCCACCATTCGACGTATCTTGTCCGGATACAAAACTTGGAGAACCGGCGTTGAACCAACTTCCATTTGATGATATCGAGGGAGAGCCTTCGTTGGCAGCGCTCACGCTGTGTTGCTGACCAGAGGATTCATGATGATCGGCAGCGGTGTCCCCTTCCACAACGTGCTCGAGAGAATCAACCGGGCTGTAATGGTGAGCAGTATCGTCTTGTGGATACTGGTTTCCCTGTAACTGTGGGGAAAAATAATCCTTTGGTCCTGTCGGCGTCTGCGAATTGTAACCCTCGCACAACAGCTGCTTTTTAACGCAGGTATCGCCTTGACAGAAGCATTAACACAGGCATCACGCCCATAATACGATGCGGCAAGGTCCGTCATCTCAGCAAAAAAGATTTGAAAAGGGAATAAGGGACATACATGTAAGAGACTGTCCGCCAGATACTCTGCTTCTGCGACGACACGTGATACAAATAGTCCCGGCTCTTGTTTCCTTAACTGGAGCCCTACGCTTCCGAGAACGTCTCACGCGGGCAGTGGTTTGCGCTGAAGAAAGAGATGTCGGCGGCGGTTCTTGTTCATGGTGAACGGGTAATGCTGGGTCGTCGCGAGCCTTCGGTTGGCTTCCTCTGCCCTCAGGTCGAGCTCCGGTTACTTCACAATCATTTTGAGTCGAACTCGGGGCATTTACGCCGAGAGGCAAACAATGCATATCAGCAGTAGCTGTATGGTCAGCTCGGTGACCATTTGTTGGTGATTGGGCCTCGGGAGCTACTGCGGGTGCAGTTAAATCATACACTCCCTGGACGTCTCTGTTAGATTTATTCCCCTCTCGAGTATCGGTAGGTTGGATCGACGGGAGGTCTCCTCTTGATGATCTGCCGTCTCTTGTGGTCTGCTCGGGGTTGAGGACAGCGGTACTCGTTGGGTCGAGTTGTTCTACCCCGGTCCCTGAAGCGCTGATAAAAGATGAACCATTCCACAAAGTCCTTTCTGTCTTGTCTCGAGGAGTTACTGGTTCGATGTGTCCGGTTCGGTGGGACAGCTCCGTACACCGCTTCTCAGAGGCTCCACCGTTCAATGTTCCCGGACTGCTGAGGCTTCTGAGAGGAGCCAAAAAAGAAGCGGAAGGCCTGGGGCCTGAATCGGACGTTGGTGAAGATGAATCGATGCGATCGCGTATTACAACACGAGCGGTTTCATTGGCCGTTGACGGTGGGCAGTCACCGGGTTGGAGCCTCTGTTTCAAACCTATACGGCGCTTTCCATGCTCTCTTCTTGCCCGATAGTATGCGGCCATGATCGCACCATGAGTTCGAAATCTACCGAAGTCCTTCGCAAATCTAGCCTCGATTTGATTGTTCTTTAAACGCTTGTGAGCTTGGAACCACCGGGATAAACGATCTAGTTCCTCCGGCTTCCATGGAGACATTGCAGAAGGCGCTACCGAAAAATGTCAGTCTGTTTACATAAATAAGATGTTCGCAAATCCTGACTCACGCTTGCGATTTCCGACCTTTTTTGGTGTCGTCGGTTCTGGAGGCTCAGTCATCTGCAGATCTACATGGTTCGATTTATCGTAGATCCAAGTGTCTTGAGAGTAGCCGCCGCTAACATGCTTGATAGTTTCAAGCCTTTGGTTTATTTTTTCCCGGCATTTGTTGTTCAAGCCGATGACTAGACCCAAGTCAATACGTACAGGTAAAAGCATGGGGCCATAAAAATAGCAAGAGAACGATGATTTGAGAGGATACTTACTCTGTGAGGCAACTTTGTTCAAATTCAATAACAACCCCCCGACTAACTGCATCGTCTCTTCCTCGGACTTTACATCGCGCGGGTATGAGCGTGGATCAATGAGTTTTTGAGGAAGGCCGGACTCGATAAAGTTGTGGTCTGATTCTGACACCCGAATCAACCCACTGCGTCCATCAAGCTGTAAATAATAACAGCCATCTTCTCGTCGCGCTGGATTATAGGAAGATGCGAGGACAACATCGAGCCAGCAAATAGTATTATCAACCTTCCCTTCATCGTCTTTCATAAGTTGAAGTTTGTCAAATAATGGGTCAATCTTCCTAGCCATAGAGTCACTAGCAAGAGGAACACCAAAATGACGCGCAAGGCTATTATCGCCCTCAATAACAGTTGCAAGTGACCGCGACAGCTCGAGTGTCGATTCCAACCTTTGCTGTGCGGGAGAAAATACAGTGCGGAGCGTTGTAGCGCAATCCGCAAGGGCTGAACTGCAATCAACTCCTGAGTCTTTTTCTTGAGGACAGAAATCCATCGTCAAAAAAGGTACAGTTCCCAGTGAAACGTGGAGAGTGGCAAGTCGGCTGGAGGAAGGTAGAGAGACATTGAACCAGCCACTAAACGCCAGCACGAACTGGAGGCTTTTAAAACCTCGGATTAGCAACGCCAATGAAAAGCCTCATGGAGCAGCGCTGAGTGGGTCGCCAAACTCAGAGAAGGCGATTTGCCCAGTCCGTCACGTTTCCCACTTTTGTTTCCAGGGAGGTAAATCGAATGCCCAATTGACCGGACAGGCAAGGTTATCTGTGTAGTTATTTTGCTTAGCAACTTGACACCGACTTTTGTTGGGTACTAGGGAATCTATAAATATGGTTACATATATTTCACTTCTACCTACGTGAGAAGGAGCCTGTACACAATTCCTCTCTTTGAGACTTATATAATGCCTTTATGCGTAACTAATAACTATTAAGGTGATGGGTCAAGTATAAGCTGCTAGAGGAACAATTAATTTTTGTTCGGACGTGTTCGGAACTCAAGAGTCGTATCCCCTGGTCTACCCGAAAAGGGTTAGTGGTCCTGCCTCCCTGGTTCCAAGATGAGAAAACTAAAGATGGTGGAAAGCACGATCGGCGAGCGTCTTCCCTCCTGCTTTGCCCGGGCTTTTTCTACATTTACCCACATACAAGCCATGTCACATGCCAAATATTCAACGTGATGGCATGGACTCTTTACTGGTCACGGGTTGAGACAGAAAACCCAGCAGCCTGTTAGTGGCGGTTCCTCGGTGTGAAGGCCAGTTAATGTGGGAATTAAAATGGAGCGCATTGAGTAGTTAAAATTAAGGGGTGTTTGTAAATGATAATAGCGGGTATTTTTACGAGGGTCTGGCCGTGCCGGTGATCTGAAGGGCGAGTACTCAGGCAAAAACAGCAGCAGAGTAGGCCAACTCCGGCTGTGAACTACAAAGACCGAGTTACTTGTCGACAACACGGCCACGGCATGAAAGAATGAAGGTGCCACGATTTCTGTTTGACCAAGATTATGAGGGTTGGGGATGGAAGGAGATACCCAGGCATTTTCGACGAATTCGGTTGGGTCTTCTCTTTGCAAGGTCGGGTATTTCTCTGCTTCAGACCATCTACACTGGTTCTATTTCAACTTTTCTCTCACTAAGGGCATTTGTAACGCTGACAAGAAAAGATCAAATACGGTATCCTGCAGTTAAAAGAAGAATATGAAAATAGCGAGTGGATAGTAGGTCATTTTAAATATCCGAGTAAATCACGCCCGAGTACCATTAACCACTACAACCTTGGACAATTGCTCAGGCAAGGTGGAGTGGGGCTAGGGAAGGGGGATCGTCAGAAATACCGTCGTTTCGCCCAGCTATCTTTAACGGCAGAATATCCCACTGGTATGTAGCTGTAGTGTGTGGACTTTACGTACGCGGCTCGGCGACTCGACGGGAATCCGTCAAGCATCTGAAATGTGATGGATTTGTTCCTGGTCTTTTTTGAAGAGGTTATAGATGACCGGCTGATGTTCAGGTCCAGCTAAAAGGGGTAAGTCAAAGTGAATCACCGGAACAAAATGATGCCCGGGCAAGTCGCGTCCGTTTGTGTGGCGTTGCGTGCAAAACACCTTAATAGCCAGGAAAGACCAACGCGAATAGCCCACGTCCAGCATAAGAAAAACCGGGCAATATATCGGAAAGAGGTAAAACTCCCAGCCATAGAGGGGAATTTATCGGCTGTCTATCGCTTGACCGGTGCTTTTGGTGACAAAAGTGATAGACATATTTGCAGGGTCTGAGAAAAGGATCATGAATGTTCATCCTGGACGTGAAGCCTACTAGTGTTGTAGTTCAGAGGAAGGTTGATTGTTGTCATTCATATCTGAAAGCTTGAGGTTTGGTATATAAGATGAATATCAGATTAATTGGAAATCAATCTGATTTAATCCGGAATAAATTCCGTATACGAAGCTCTATTGTCTACCAGATCGAGCTTTGATTCACAGTAGCTAGGTTTTTGGTACTACATACTTTGAGGGGTGTATAAAGACACAAATTCTGTCGGAGGGAAGGGAAGTTCTTACTGCCGGTTAGTTCAGAGCGGTTATATTTGCGAGGGTTCCCGGCAAGAGAGCCCGTGGAGCCCTCACCATGCCGCAACTACGGTTTAGGATAGTCATACCATTGCCCATGTCTGATCATTTTGTTTTCTGGTCACCCCGGACGGTTCCATCTCCTGGATACCCCAATCGTCTCCAACCCCTTGATAAGGACTGGCATATAACAGATATACTCAGCATGTATTTTCAATATTCAACTCTTCCTGGTGCTATATAAAGTACCAGGCAAGCTCACGACATGCGGATAAGGCAGATATTGAATATACAAAGCCTCATTCGTCGACTCGTGATTCACACTCTATAACTTTATTTCTTTTGATTACCAACTCGACCAAAACCTCACTCATAATGAGACATCGTATCGTTTTAGTAAGCGGCAGCTTACTTTTTGTCGCTCTTTCTTCTGCGGGCGGATTTTCTAGCACCTGCGATCAGATAGGGCTTAAGAATCAGCATTACGTTGTTGCAAGCTGCAGTAGAACGAATGGCACCGTGGCCAAAAGTAACTTGGACCTTAATTCCTGCTATCGCAATCGTAATGGGACTCTTACATTTGAACAAGGGTCAGTCTACCCTGAATATGAAAGCCCTAGCTAATACTTCTCAGTGGTGGCATGGGGAGGTTTTGCCCATCCTGCAGCGTCCATGGAAGTTGGCTATCTTGTGGTTGTCTGACTGACGCGGGCGGTATCAACTATCCCAACATTAATATGGGTGGGTAAAATCTCAAATTCATTTGCCTTTACGTTTCCTGACACTTTTTTAGATCTGGCCATTTCTAACTTGGATGGCAATTTGGCGTGTTAGCTCTTTTAAGATCTCCATTGGTCCATTGAACAATTGATCTATTAGGGAATTGAGGAAGAAATGCCTGTTTGTCTTATAGAGATGTCGTCATTCTATCCTTTATTCTTTTTGTCCTCTCTTTTGACCTTTAGCTTCTCTACCCAAGGACTCTGCTTGATTAACTAGTTGTTCTTTATTATCGCTAACTACTCCCTTCGTCAAATAAGTTACCGCGTCATTTCCCAGTTTATTTTAATATCTTAAGACCTATTAAAGGCGGATAGGTATACACTGTGCCTGAACCTCGCTTACCGCGAGGAGGATGGCCTAGATAATTCGCTGTCCCGATCGATTTCCCGTGTTTAAAATTGTGGTGGCTGTAACTCGCCGCAGTTGCAATTTGGGCATACGGTACAAGCAGCCACTGGTTTTGCAAAGCTACACTTTATACTGATTATAAATCCCCTAAATAACAGCCTAACATTAACACAAATTAATTTGCGGGTGCGACGCTGGAACAGAGTCGAAGAGTGAGTGTTGATAAGACTGCAAGATTGGGAATAATTCAATGTTCACTCATAGAAGAAGCAAGTTGATTGTAAACAGTTTTGCGTCTCAATACGTATATCTAGCCTCATATATTCCCTCTAAGGAGACAACAATGCATCTTTCCCCTGAGTAACAACAGACTTCGTTCAAATGCTGTAGAAGCGTTGAGGAGCCATGGGCTCCCTGCGACAGACCTCACCTCAGAAACGCCAATAAATATTTCAAATATAAAACGATAGTCATTACACTAAATCAAGTGTGGAATATCACTCAAGTTGGTTGTTAATTCGACCGCGCCGAACTAGCAAAGCGATTAACGTGGACAGGAAATTTATCGCCAAGGCTTAGAACAAACCACACCAAACGATCGTAGAAGAAGGTCTATTTCGCTGTCCATAAGATCTGATCGACCAAACTATAGAAGTCACTAGAATCTCCGCAAGGTATTTGTTTAGCTAAATGAAAGAATGAAGCCAATGGCCCATTGCTCTTGATCCATTGCATCACGTCCGGCCGAGCTTTATTATCATCCGAGAAGGCACGGCGAAAGTCGAATCCCCCAAACTCTCCCTGAAAGGGGGTCTCCAGAATAATTTCTTCCAGAGATGGGAGTTCGTTTTCGAGCAGAAAAGGAAAGATGTCACTCGAATCCTTCAGGTGAACCTTCTTCAGGGATAATAAATCAACCGTCAGGGCCTGGCATGTGACGTTAGACTCGCCAACAATGAGTTGTTCGAGTCCGATTCCAATTATGCTGAGGATGTCGTTCAATTCACCCTTCGAATGATTGACCTCGAATGTCCTGAGAGAATCCGGGTGGCCGCAAAATATCATATTACCAAGATGTAAATGTTCAACGCCCAATCTGGAAAGACTTGGCAGGGCCGTAAAGTCCATGACAACAGTACAATCCCAATTCTTGAGAGGAACCTCATTAAGAGTAAATCCGTCATCAAACTGAATATCGAGATCTAAAAGAGCCGGCATGGCGGGGATGACTAGAGTACCGCTTGACAAATACTCTATAACAAGCTTGTGCAGTGACCGGAAAGGGAGGTGTACCGGCCAGGAGCTGGGAACATTGCTGGAATGAAACAACTCTCGAAGGCTAGGTTGATCAGCCAGCTGTTCTTTGACGCCATACGAGCTCTCATCGTTCCTTTCTGCGTCAATACTATTGAGTTGTCAGTTATTATATCCCTTGGCGTTGGAAAAGCGATCCTCGAAGATCTCCGTACCAACATCGCCGTATGTTAGGCAATCGACTCAGTAGGTTTAGCATACAGGGCTCCACAGCCCGATAGCAAAATATGCGTA